TGCTGATAGTTCAGGACTGTTAGTGGTTACCTGACTATTTGACAGAAAACATTTCCTCTCCTTTATTTAACCTTTGACTCATGAATGTAAAAGTTTTATCAGAGCTATAGTAGAAGCACCAGTCTACTTATGGCAACAAGGGTTATGCGTGGCTTTGAATAAAAGTCTGAGGTCCTGCCTTGTGGCTCATTTGGATTAAAAGAAAATGCTAAGTACGTTTTTAATTAACCATGAAATATCTTGGGCTCTTGCTTTCGTGACCAGCAGTGGCTGTATTTTTATATAAAGGCCACTGTATTCTCAACCAGGGAATACATATCTATTAAACTAAAATTGCATAAGTTTTGATGTTTTTCTTTATTATGGGAACAATGTTTTGTGGCAACTTTAGAGAAATTGCTCTATGTTGTTGGAGGTTGATGTATGTTTGTCTTGTATGTTTGTTGACTGTAACATGAGGAATGCAAAGACAATGTGTACAATTGAAGAAAAATAAACAAGAAACCAATAATAGTTTCATAGTTTAAGAACCTATATTATTTTTATTAGAAGTTTATGCTTCTAAATACATTAAAATTGAAAATTAAAGCCCTGTTTTTCTTCTGTTTTATCTACTGTGAAGGGTCTTCATTGATAACCTTTTGACGTTTTCGTAAGACAGCTAATTAATTATGAAATGCACTGCTCATAAATAATTTTATGAATACAAGTATTATGGTAAGGTCTTTCCAGTAATGGACTTCATTTTGATTTTATCTGTTGTTAAGGTACATCTTAGTGTGACAGTTTTGAGTTAGGAGTAATATATTACAGGTCTTCTCTGTTAAATTCAGCCATTTCAAAGCTATTTTTTGCAGACAGTGCATTTCTGTACTGACTTGAAAAAAACTGTAACCCAGCCTAGCAGTTGTCGATGGACATTTGTGTGCTGGATGACTTTTCTGTACATAGACTAGTTCTTCTGTGCTAAGCAAAGATTAAATAATTTTGCAAGATTTGCTAACAGGACAAGCTAAGATTCTTTTACCTGTAATGTTTCTGGTTTTTAGCTGTCACATGCACAAGTGCCATATACAGTGCTTTATACAATACAGTGTACTGTATAAAGATGTAAAGCCTGTATAATGGGAATGTTCATCTATGAATAAATCTGTTTACTAGAGTAGTCCAAATAAATTAATAGGATTATTAACACATGTGCTTGCAAAACCAGCCTGTGATATAAGAGGACAAAAATGTTGCTTGACAGCCCTGAGGATGTTACAAAGTAAAAACAGCTTATACTTACTCTTTGAATTGAGAATCTAAAATATCACCTGATAGCTCTCCTTATTATGAACAAACACAGCCTGTGTTTATGTTTACTTTTGAATGCAGAGATGCATTGTATATGCACGTGTGCAAATGCACTTTGTTGTTTATGAAAATAACAAATGTAACAATTCTTTCTTATACTGAATTAATAGCAATTAGCAAATACATTAATGAAAAATGTAAAGGGAACATTTTTGCTTTCCAATAGATCTTTGTAATATTTTGTTGCAGTAAGAACAGTATAATTAAAAATATTGACAAAAACTTTTGCAATTATACTGTGCTTTTGAAGATAATGTGGAAACGAAACAGAGGACAGGTCTTGGTGGCCTTTGGTTTCATGCCATATAATGTGATGGAGTGCTTATTTTGATTTCCTTAATTTTTCAGGTTTAAGAGGCATGTTGAAATTATATGAACCTCATGTCTGTGGTTATAAAGCTTAAAGCAATTATTTTTCCAGTCTTTCAGCTCAGAAGGGAAACTGGCATTTTTATCTATGATTAAGTAGTCTGTTTTTATGATGTTTTTCTTTGCGGTTTTGTTACATGAAGACATGGAAGTGTATCATCAACCTGATCTTGCTAAGGGAAGAAATTCTTGTATGAGTACTCTGGTCAGCATGCCTTGCCGTATGAAAGAAAAATCTCCCTTGGCTTTCTGCTAGGATTCATTAATTTCAAATAATGAATTTGACCTTTTTGTGTATAGACTTAAAAATTGCATTTAATTTTTCTTTTCACAGTAAGAGGGGAGTTGAGATCAGAGATACAAGAAAGAAATATGGTTAATATTTTATTGGAATAGCATTTATTTTTATAGACTGCTGTTCATAAGTGTTCATTATAAAAAATGAATGATCAGATAAGATTTTAGAGTATTCTACAGCAAAATACACTGGGGTGATGTACACTACTAATGCAGAGGTGATAGCAAAAGACCAGAAAGCTTTTAGATCATCTAATCCATTTGTGTGTCCAGTGATATAAAAATACTTTGCAATTTATACCTGACTTGTACCTTGACTTGGACAAAATGCTAGAGCAGTGTTCCAGTCCCTGCTGTAATTCTAGGCTGGTAAAACTGTTCAATAGCTCTGACATTTGCAGGTACTCTGAATGCTGTGGTGAACAATTTTGTTTGCCTAACTGTGTGCATTTCAGCAACATGTAAAACCAGGTTAACACGATTTCAGAAGGTAATAGAACAGGAGTGCTAGGTGGAAGAAAACTCAAAGATCAGATGTTTTAAGTGCTGTTATGATGGGTGTTTTACAAGGGCATGTAGCATTCATGCCCGTAAGCAGTGAGTGGCCTTACACAGTTGCAATGAAGTAAATTTTACGATTATATAAGAATATATTGAAAAGCAAATGCAATAATGTCACACTTTAACTACTGTCAACAATACCAAGCATTAAAAATGTCTGTGAGCATTAAAAGGCTCATGTAGTTTTGATTAATAGCCAGTACAGTGTATGGTAAAGTGTGATAAAGATATTAATACAGTGACTCTAAAAGAAATCATTGCCTCTGTGTCTCTTTGGCTTGGCAAGAGTAAATTCATGGTGGTTTTTTGTGGGTTTTGTTAGGAATCAGCAGTTAAGCATTTATAAGGATAGCAAAGTAAGATTGCTAGAAAATGCATAACTCTAACTATGTTCAGATTTCTGCTGTTCTCTTTCTTTGCCCTAAGAATTGGGATCTGTTTCTAAAGCCTTGCCAGCTGCGTACTGGGAACAGAGGTGTTGCAAAGAAAACATAACCCTGGACTCGCCGCACAAAAGTAGACTTGGCTTCTCTACCAGCCAGGGTTTCTCCTAACAGGTTTCCTTTTCCTATCAGGAAAACATTTAGGTTCTGCATACTGGGCTTTTTCAGTTGTAGTTAGCATGTTTCCTGAAAAGTATAAATGTGAAATTTTAAGGTCTGTCCGCAGTACGCCCTAAAGCTTTTAAGAAATGCATTGGAAGTATGTCCATGGATTTACACTGCACTGAATAACAAAGTGTGTTGTATTATTACATATGGGTATGAAACGTAGTAAAAACATTTCAGGCTTTGTTACCTTCCCAGCCCACCTTCCAATTTCAAACAACTAATATTAACCATACTATTACCATTTTAGTAATGTTCTTTGTGATAAAATTCTAACAGACATTAGAAGGTGTTTAATTTGTAAATAATGAGTAATTTATACAGGTCCTACTTAGTTTACCGGACTTCTTACATCTGTATCATAGGCCTAAATAGTGATTATGGAAAGTTCTGTAGCATGCAGTCACTGATGATGTCACTGTTAAAGGTAACTGTTCTGTAAATAGATGACAAACAAATGGAACTTTTGCCACTGTGTTTGAGTTCCTCTTCTCATGCTCTTCAGTTATGTCTTATTTATCTTGGATTCTGTTTAACTCACTGAGAGTATTGCACACATATGGGCTGCAGACTTGTGTTAAAAGTTTATTAAGTATTCACATATTAATGTGCTGAGTGTTTACAATACTGGTGAACGCTCTCTTATTTTTAGAAGCTAATTCTTTCTATAGAAATTACTTTATAGGGAGACCAATGTTCTTGCATATAATGTAACTTCTATACTATTGCATAGCATTGTACCACTTGTCAAATACAGGGTACCTGGTCTGCCCAGGTAAAATTGTTTTTCATTTTCCAGGGAAGCAGCAGTTCTGGCAGTCCACCAGGTACAACAGGACGTAGAATTTCAAAATTGCAAATAACATAACTACTGAAAGTCGTAACAATTAAAGATAAGGGAATGTGATTTGGCAATGTTTAAAATTATTTTTGGTGCCTTTTAAAATAATGAGAAGTTAAAGTATTGTGAGCTAATCTATGCTTTATGGAACTTCAAGCGGGCGTCCAGCATAAAGAAATGTAGCTTTCCTACTATCTATCAGTGATGTACCATTAAATTTGTGGGGAAAAGTTTTATATGCATTTTATTTATATGTAGAAATGTTATAAAAATGTGCAAGTCAGATTAATCATAGTAGTATTCCAGTAAGTGCTGGAAAAAAATACATTGATATTTCATTAAAATGCTTTTTCCCCTCCTCTTTTAGTTACCTACCATGGTTTGAGGTATACTACAAGCTCCTGAATACCCTGGCAGATTATTTGGCTAAAGAACAGGTAATTTTAGGTATTCTGTTTCTTTGTGCAAAATATTTTCCTTGTAATAACAGTCACCATTTGAAGTGGTGTAAAGTAATTCTATACTGTTTAAAAGTTTAAAGTTTTAGTACAATTTAGAAGCAATTTTTTACATTCATCATATTGAAATTCAAAGAATCTGAACGTACAGCTGCCACTGTCACATGAATCCCACATTAATCTTAAAAAGCTGCCGAGAATATACCTTTATAAAGTGTCAGTCTTAGCATAAACAAGTCCTGGGTGAAGTGTGAGCAAAGTGTCACATCACTGGAGATCTGTATGACGTATTGATTGTAAACTGTAGATCTCTGGAACTATCTGATTATCAGTTACAAACACTTGTTTTCAGAACTGCATAAAGTATGATGTACTGTTTCACCCTTGATATTAACTAAAAACTACCTCTCGCAATTCTGTCATCTCAACTAGCAAGACAAAATTACTTGCAGCTTTTGGTGAAGAATCATGATAGATTAGTTTGCATATTCATGAGCAATTAGACGTATTCCAGGATTACGCAGGAATACTGGCATCTGTCTTTACTGACAACATTAAAGCTATACCTTTCTGCTTTAACTATATTAGTGTACTAGATTGTAATTAAAAAAAAAAAAAAAAAAAGCATCAGTAGTCAGCCATATGCTGTGGGCTGGAAAAGCTGACATTTCAAGAATATATGAACTATAGAATAAGCAATTATTTTGCATTATAGTAAATGGACTATAGAGAATAATGATGCTTTATGTAAAAAGAAAATGCAGTAGGAAAGTTTGGTGTTAGCTGTGTTTAAATAAAGTGTGGAATACAGGTAAGTCTTATAAAGGGTGTAATGAGACTTTGGGTTTGGCCCCGATTTCACTGTAATAGTAAAAATTGTTATTCAGGTTGTATTTGACAGAGCGGTAGGCATTGTCCTCTCCTTTGTTTCCTGATCGCTGGTTCTGGCATTGCAGCTGTTACTACAACCAATTTAAGTTGCTGGGTTGTAAGTTTGTTGTCCTATATGCTGAGAAAACTGTTGCGATGGGTCAGAAAGTTTTAGCAGCGTACGGAAGTATTTTGTTGTGTTGCCTAGTGCCATACCTGCTGCTGAGGAGGCTGTTAGAGGACACGGCTCCCTCCAGGCCCAGGCACTGTTTGTCTAACCAAGAGCTAGACCCAAAGTCTTGTTTACTAGTATGAGATCCAGTAAAATCATCATTCTTGCAGGGAGAGGCAGAAGCTTCCTGCAAACTCAAACAATATGTTTAAAAGCTGGCCCTGGCTTGTCACTGATATTTTTGGTTTTACTTTGACCACAAAAAGAATTTAATCTCCATGAACAAAACCTGTAAACTGAATGAAAACCCTAACCCAAACAAAATCTCCAGCCACTGCATCTCTTTCCCAAGTAAATGTCTTTTCTAGAGATCAAGGTGGGTGATCCTAGTTAAAGCTGATAGCTGCGTGTACTTTTTAGCCAAACTTATTAGCTGTTTTATGTGCTCTGATGAATCATTTTTAAAGTATACAATATAGCTGTGTAGCTGCGTATTTAGTAAGACTTTGAATAGACAAATATCAGGGCTAACAGTTTTAGGAAGATGATGTCCAAGATGCACAGACCAGCTAGACGTGTTAACACTATGTTCTTTTGCAAAAAACGTGATTCATTTAAGGAGTATATGGGGAAATATGTAAGAGATTGACTTAACTTGGAGATACAATCATCTTCTGAGATAGAAAGTTGGCCTGAATTTTATACTTAATATTTAAATACTTCACTGTGAATTGCAATTGTCTTTCTCATTAAATATCTCTCTCTCTCTTTGTCAATATATAGTTTGATGTGTAGTAAATGGTAATGAGTCAGTCTTCATACAATAATTAACTACCTTTTAAAAATATTCCTTATAGGAAAATGACTCAAGTGATTTGTTAAAATCACTGTATAGCCATCCTGTGCCAAAGGCGAATGCTTTAGTCAGTTTAAGTGTGGTAAGTATTCTCTGTTTAACTCCTACTCCTATTACTGACTATAAAATAGTAGGTAAGGTTGAAAAAAAAAAAAATCCAACCCTTTGTAAAGAGTAAACTTATGTTGCTTCCCATTATCACCTGTCTTGGACAACCTTCCCCCCCACCCCCCATGCAGAATAGAGTTTGTCTCTGTTTCATGTTGTTCTCTTAAAGTCATAGTCGTAAAGAAGCAGAAATTTGAATTTTGCTCTATGGATGAGAAAGTAAACTGCACTGGGGTCTGACAGTGCTAGAACTACTTTTTTATGCTTCCAGCTGTTTCATGTAGATAATTTTGGTTTCTCCTGCTGTGAATCAGGAGACACTAACTCTGTTTTATTGCCTCTTATGCCTGAGTAGGATTGGACAAAAATCTGCATAAGCTGGCTTCTTTCCCATCTTCCTTCCCCTTCTTCCTAGTTTTGCTTGATCATGCAAACATGCTGTAGGAGAGATGGTGGGAGAAGTGTACTGTGTTATGTGAAACTTTCAGCACATCTAGGTGAAAGAACGTGTCCATGCCTACCTTGCTTTTGTGCTCTGACTTTTTGTGATGTGGGACTGGACATTGATAGTATAGCAAGGTGGTGTTGCTGCAGAAACCTCAAAAAGTGAGCCTGTCGCTGTTTCAGTTTCTGAAGTTTTTAACAGAAATAGCATATTGACGCATATTTAAATACATTTGTAGAGCCTGCATGAAATGTAAAGCCAATACAGAGCTTCTGCTGTCTCCAAGACATTGTAGAATTGTTTAGGTTGGAAAAGACCTTTAAGATCATCCAGTCCAACCATTGACCTAACACTAACATGTTCACCACTAAACCAATTAAGGGTAGAGTAATGATTTCATGTTTCCTGGCTTGGTGGCTGGATTATTTTTTAATGAAAGTAAAAACTAGGAATCATTAAGGTTGGAAAGGATCTCTAAGATCATCAGTCCAACCATCAACCCAACGCCACCATGCCCACTAAACCATGTCCCAGAGTGCCACATCTACCCGTTTTTGAACACTTCCAGGGATAGTGACTCCACTGCCTCT